CAGGCTTAACGTAGGTTCCAGTCGCGCCACGCCCAGTTTTCGGTTGGTAGAACCAAGTCTTCTCGGTTAAAGGCTTAAAAATGGAGTACACATCTGACTCGTGTGCGCTTTAAAGAACCCATTGTATCTTTCGAAAGAGTAGGGAGTTACCCCGATGTTATGGTTAATATCGCATATAATACAGAAAATTAAGGGTTTTTTGCATATAAGATGAAATAAAAAACGGAAAGCAAGTAGTACATATACAATATATTAAAGGAAAATGAAAAAAAAAAAGGTAAAACGAAAAATTACATCTTTTAAGGGTATAATTGAACAAATGAATTACTTTATGCGTGTAAAATTTTATTAACAAAAACATGTGACATGCCAAAATGGGTCATGATGACATCACATCATGACCATATATAGGCACATCATGATTATATATATGGGCATGTGAAGCACTTAGAGGCTTTGTAAAGGCATTGAGTGCTATATAAGAACGACATATTATTATTATTCATACACCTGTTTTTTTTTTGTCAAAGATTTGATAATCTTTACAAAGCTTTATACTTCTATATGTTTATTTACACATATCCTTTTTTGAATGTTGCAGTGGTATAATTCTACTAAAATTACCAACATCTCATAGTAAATAATAAAGCCTTTCCACTACCGCTTTACCTGCACTTATAACGTCATAATAAATAATGAAGCCTTTCCACATACCGCTTTACCTGTACTTATAACGTGATTTCGAGTATAACTGACAAACCTTGGGGGCTTTTTTTGGTACTTTAATGTTAAAATGATATCTATGTGGGTGGCGTAGGTAGAGTAAAAAAGGCTAGTTTATAGTATAATATAAAGTGTGTATTTTTGTTATTAAAGACACATTACCATAGTGTACACACAAACAATACAAAAGTACTTCAACTTATAATCTTAGCAAACTAGTTGTAATTTAGACACGTTGTTGACGCAAACGCAGATTGACTGACGCAGTCTTACGTACTTACGCAAGTCTCAACATGGCTCAACTATTTTCGCAAGGGGAAAATGAGATAAGGTGAGCCCTATTTGGAAAAAGCCACTTTTTGCATTTGTATTTTTTACAATCAGATAGTGTAACTATTATACGAGTAAACGATGACGGGCTTATGGTGCTGATGGTTATGATAACCAGCTTATCACTTAAATAATTGGAATGATGTGATGTTTTATCAGCAAAGTTTCATTACGAGGCTTAAGAAGTGGAGATGTTGTTTAGTTGTGAGGAAAAATCCTGTGCTATCACAAATTTTGAACCCATGACCCTAGGATTGCAAGGAAACATCTTAACACCAATTTACACCCTCTAACGATGATGCTGGTGTTGTTGTTGTTGTTGTTGATGTGGATACTCATGATGATGATGATGACGATTTGAGGTGATTATGACGATAGCAATTCCAATGGCAATGGCGATGACGAAGATGATGGTGATGGCGATGATGGTAATGAGGCGAGGAAGAGGCGGTTGGTGATGATGATGATGATGATGATGATGATGATGATGATGATGATGATGATGATGATGATTATAATTAAGATGATGATGGTCGTCGATCGACGATGATGATGAGGATCGAATATTGATGTAAATATAGAATTTCAATCTTGTGTTACAAATAACGATATAGACCTATGCCCTTTTATTAAATTGGTCCAAAAACTGAAATAATTACCCAACTAAACTTTATCACTACCGTAACATGATTCTGACCAATCTAATCGCTAGGCTGGATTGAAATATTGTTTTGATTTCTATGCTTAGGACAAAACCAAACAAGAAGCTTGACGCAAACACAAACGTTCCTGTGCAAAAGCTTTAGCAGCGTCGAAACTTACGTAGGCCTACAACAGGCTACGTCAGCAAACATCATACACTTTCGCATTGTGTTTTATGTGTCTTATTAGTTATTCCACTAAATATTGACAGTGGTAATAGCGTAGGCGTGGCGTTTCGTGCGTCTATATAAAAACGCGTTGTGTTAACCAAGCTTATTACCAAAATTAATAACATCAATTGTAAAACCTTCTCCAAAATTAAATAATTTTCATTAATTTATAATGTAAATTAAGCCCTGTCAAGCACAGTCGGGACAGGGCCTATAGATTGCCTGATCGGAGAGGGAATAGTAACACAGCAACTAGGGGGCGCTATATAGCGATGCATAGAGCCTACCTCCCCAGAGGCAATCATTCCTGGAAATGCCACTATGCCTGCCTGAGCCATTGCGGGAAGATAGAATTGGAGATAAAAGTAGAAAAAATCCCACCCT